CCATAGAAATTAAGAGGATAAAGACAAAACCCATCCACATTGAAGTTAAAACCCTAGTTGAGAACCCTTGGGTTGTAGGGAAAAAAAGTAAAAAAGTTCCTCAAAACAGGTGAAAATGAAACACATCAAACCATCTGAGATACAGCTAATACAGCCTTCAGGATGATGTTCATAGAAATAGGCAAACACAAAAACAAAAGGAGCAAAATTAATGACTTAACACCTCCATCAAATATAAAGAACAATTTACAGCCTCTCGAAGAAATCAAATTACAAAAGAACGGAAATTAATGGGATAGAAAGCAGAAAAATTGAAACAGTCAACAAGACCAGAAACCAGTCTTCCAAATAGTCAATAAAAAAGAAACCATTAGCAAGCTTAAAACCAAGACAAGACATTAATAAATTGACAAAGAAATGAAAGAGGTGAAATGGTAACATAATGAGCTGAAATTAAATTGATTAGGCAGGAGTGGCATCCACATCCTAAACATACCTCTGGAAACTGAACTTTGATAAGTGACGCTAGTTACAGATAATTATAGAAAGGCTTTTATTCATAGGGTCACTAGGAGCCATGATCAACTTAATGGCAAACAACAACAACATTAGAATATTATGAAAAGCTCTACTCCAATAAATTTGAAAACCTAGATGAAATGGACAAGTTTCTAGAAACCCACATCCTACCCAGAGTGATAGATGTGGAACACCTGAACAGACCCAAGACAAAATAAATTGAGGTCTTAAAAAGATTCCCTCCTAAATAAAGTCCTGCAGCAGATGAGTTCACAGCTGAATTCTAACAAACTTTCAGAGACTATCACCAATTCTTGTTAAATTTCAACAGAACAAGGAGGACATTCCCAGAGTCATGCTATGAAGCAAGTGTAACCCTAATACCAAAACCAGGCAGAGATGTTAAAAAAAAAAGACAAAACAAAACCCCACCAATATTAGCCCATTTTCTTTCACAAACATATGCAAAAATCTTGGTCAATAGAATCCAACAGTATATATATTAAAAAAAAAAAAAATCATGACTAAGTGTGATTCTTTTAACAGGTATGCTAGGGTGGTTCAAGTACAACAACTAAGGTAATTCATCACATTAACAAATCAAAGAACAAGAACCATATGATTCTCTCAATTGATGCAGAAAAGATGTTTGACAAAATCCAACACCCCTTCCTAACTAAAATACTCAAAACAGGAATAGAAGGGAATTTTCCTCAACTCGGCATATGTAGATGATTAGACAGTGTATACAAAGAACCTTGAAGTCTCAACAATAAACCTGTAGACCTTAGTAGACCAATTAAATAGAGTGGCAAGGTACAAAATCAATATACACAAGCCAGTGGGATTTCTCTACAGTAACAAAGAAAACACAAGTAGATTAAGAAAGCCAGTACCATTTAAAAAAGCCAACCACAAAATGAAATACTTGGGAATAAACTTAATCAGATACACCAAAGACCTTGATAAGGAACTACTAAACACTATTGAAACAGAACTAAAAGGGAAAATGTTCCTAATCTACACATGCAGCATGTACATCAATACAGAAACTAAACTCCTTTTTCATAGAGAACCTTAAATTTTAAGTTTATTTGGAATGAAAAGAGATCCTGAATCAGCAACACACTTCTGAAAAATAAAAATGAAGTGGAAGGCATAGCCCTGTCTGACCTCAAAACCTACTATACAGCCCTAGCAACCAAACAGCATGGTATTGGAACAATAACACAAAACCAGAATCAGATTGAGAATCCGGAAATTAACACATCTTCCTATGGTTAACTGGTATTCAACAAGGAGTCATAATCTATGAAATGGGCAAACAGTTTCTTCAACAAATGTTGGCAAAACTGGACTGCTACATGCAGAAAGCTGGAACAGAATCCACATCTCACACAGACCACACACAAAAATGAAATAAAGGTGGATCAGAAACCCAGGGGTAAAGCTCAAAACTAAGGATCATGAGAGACAGTAGGACCAAACTGAGAAGGCTTGCAAGTGTAGTTAGAAGTACACCACCAGAAAGGGGAAGAGGTGAATAGGACCTTCTAAAAGTCAAGTTCCTATGTGCACCAAAAACATTTTCCAATAGAGTGAAAAGAAAACCTATAGGTTGAAAAAAGAATTAGGAGTTACTTCTCAGACAAGGCCCTCATACTAAAGTTTATAGAAGGCATCCACAAGAAAAAGGACTAATGACCCAGGAACAAAATGGGCAAAAGATATGACAAGACTTCACAAAGGAGGGATTCAGATGGTCAGCATACAAAAGAAATGCTCAGTATCACTGACAATTGGAGAGATGCAAATGTCAACAATGAGATAACATCTCAGCCTACGAGCAAGGTTTAATAAGACAGCAAACAAATGTTGGAGAGGATGTCAAGAGACTGGAACTCTCTCTCCCTCTCTCCCACACTTCTAATGGAACTGTAAAAATGGTACAGGCACTTTGGAAGGCATTTTGGCAGAAATCCAGTATGACCGAGCTATTCTACTAGGAATATACGCCAAAGAAATTTGGGCAAGTGGAGATATGCACATGTTATGTTCATAGCATTATTAATAAGAAAATGGAAACAGCTCAAAGGCCCATCAACAAACAAATGGATTGAGAAACTGGTACCTTCACACAGTGCAATACTATGTAGCACTAAGTAACAATCATTTCATAAAACATTGTATAATATGCAAGAGTCTAGAGAGTATTAGGTTGACTAAACTAATTCAGACTTATAAGGACAACTACTGCATAAAACCACTATTGTAAAAATAGGATAGTTAGATGTGTGTGAATGCCTAAAAGGGCAGTGATTGGGAAGAAAGGAGAGGAAAAAGGAGAAAGAAAGATGGTGATCATTGGGATAGCAGCATTTAGCATTGGGAAATATTCAATAGGAACTCAAAGAGCCAAGGTGATAATAGTCATAGATTAACAGTGACTGGTTGCATGACTTATCCTAAAATACACAATATAAATTAAAAACTGTAAAACTGTACATAAATGAAACACTGAATTTTTAAAAGAAATCAAAAGACATACTGCACTGGAAAAGTTCACTGTAAAAACAGGAGAGAAATAATGACAGCTTAAAGACTAAGATGCACCTGAAACAAATCAGTCTAGTCTATCACCTGCCATTCATTTGAGAGCTGGACAATGAATAAGGATGACAGGAAAAATCCATCCCAAATACTTCAGGCATGTTTTTGGGTGCTATCGAGTCCAGTATAACTCATAGCAACCATATGAACAACTTACCTGAATCCTATCATTTGCCTGTCTCATCTGAACACACTTGAACCTATTGCTTCAGTCACTATCAATCTTGCTGACTGTCTTTATTGACCCATCTTTTTCCCCCCACAATGATGTTTCTTTGGCTTCTTGTTATATGCTTAAAATATGTGAGACGAAGTTTCACCGTCCTTGCCTCTAAGAAACATTCTGACTGCAGTTTCTGCAAGACATTTCACCGTGTGCACATGTTGCTAGAAAAAAACTATTCCTCAGGAAAAGTATAGCATGCTTAGAAAGGCTGAGGGCCAGCAAAAGAGGAAGGCCCTGGATGAGATGGATTGAAGCAGAGGAAATGGGATCAAGTATATCAGAGATGTTAAGGATGGCACAGGACAGGGTTCTGTTCATAAGGTCATTATGAGGAGCACCTGACGGTGAGGACACTTAACATCAATTCAGTGGCACGTGGGTTAGATAACCAGGCATTGCTCAAACTCTCCCATGCCCTGGAGAAGATGAGGCAATCTACTACCTTAAACAGTATGGATTTATCAGTCTCACCCCGACGTCAATCCCATTCCACAACAGTGGCACAATGCAATATTTGTCCTTTTGTGACTAAGATATTTCACTCAGCAAAATGAGAAAAACTGGATAAATTATGTATACAGCATTGAAACAGAGGGAGAGAACAGTTTAAAAGCGATATATGATTGGGTGTTACGGTTATGACAAGAGTCCAGAATGAAGGTTGCATAGTGGAGTGTACCTTTTTTAAAGGGGGCGATTGTATACTAACGAAGGAATTTTACTTTTCAAAGAGAAGAGCGAACTGGGAGGTGGGGGAAGGGGTGGGTGGGGAGAAAAAATGCAACAATGGATGAAAGGAAATCCAAAATCTCTGTAAACGTTCATTAAAGTAGAAGAAAATTATTTTTAAAACTATAGATTAAGAAACCATACGGGGGGGGGGAGGAAGAAACCATACGGGGTAATTATTTTCAGTTCTATGGGGTCCTTACGACTTGGAATCCTTTAGAATGTACACATTTACCAGTAGTATAGAAACCAGGATACCTGCCTTATCTCTGCAGGAAAGAAGCTCAAAGAGTATAACTCGAAGCAATCAAATGTAATAGGACTGTGAACAAATTAACCATATTCTCCAAAGACTCAGAATCAAGGCAGACATGTTCTATGAAGGAATAAGTTGGAGATGCGGTAAGGTGAGAAAGACGAAGAACTCTTAAAAAGTACTAGAGAAAAACACAAGTTATGAAGATGCTGCCTGTACCACCACCCTCCTCCGTTTATAAGGCAGATAACCTATTTCTCTCAAACATTCTCCAAACTCTGCGCAAATTTGGAACGGGGATAAAGGATAGCTTCGCTGCACTGAACACGAGGACTGGGGAAATGACCACAGCCCCCACACGTTTCTGTAACAACCAGGAATCTAGTCCCCTTTTGATGGCGTCGTCCCTAGAGAGCTGCTAATCCAAAGCTTCTCTAGCGGTTCGAATCCACCAGTGACTGCCCAGGAGAAAACCGGGCAATCTCTTCCCTTATGTCTTCAAGCCACCTGAAAACCCGCTGGGGAGTCAGGAGTGGGTGAGCGAGCTCCTTTCCGAGCTTTCTTCTCTGCTTAGAGAAGGGCAGGGCCACAGCCCAGGCAGCGGCGCACGTGCAGGCCTTGGTCACTCACCGAGCGTAGACCCGAGGCGCGCCCGCACACTCGGCAGCCCGGCGCCGTCGTTACCCGCCGGCAGGTCGTGCATCCGGACGCCCGTGCCGCCGCGCTCCAGCACCGCCAGGCGGCCGTGCGCACAGCTGAGCTGGCGCGTCTCCAGGCATCGCTCGGACAGCGAGGCGCGCAGGTTCTCGCGAGCAGGGAACAGCCAGAGCTGGGAGCCTTGCGATTCGGAAGCAGTGGCGCCGCGGGGCGCGCTGGAGCGGGTCGAGGAGGACGACGGGGGCGCGGGGCGCGCGGCTTCGGACAATCTCCGGTGGGGCTTGGGTGCCATCGCATCCGGCTCTGCTCTCTGGGGTTCCACCGATGCTCCTTCTCGCACGGGATTCTGAGGAGCTGCAGCCGCCGACCCGTCAGAGGAAGAAGACTATACAGTTCAAAGAGTTCCTCAGGGTACCGCGATGCAGAGCGGGGACCTGCGCGCGGCTTTAAGCCCCTGGCTCCGCCCCCGCCCAGGTGTCCCGACTATGGTTTGGGCGGGGCCAGAAGTTTGAGGAGAAAGACACTGAAAGATTCCTAGTTGAAATGAAGAAGGAAGAGAAATCTTTGGTTAAAGACTGGCTTAATAAACAACCAAACTAAGCAAGTTCGTGACAGGTTATGGGGCGAAGACACACCGTCAATGAGGAGGGTTTGTGTTGCCTATTGTAGCTCAACTCACATCCTACCCTTCCCCCCACCTCTTTCCTTGCAAACTATTCAGAATCCTGAGCAACGTTTAGTATCAGTCACACAATGTGGTGGTTGTTGTTGACTGACTTGAGTCGAGCACCACTCACAGAAAGCCTGTGAACAAAAAGGCCTGAAGCCCCTCACGATCGACATTTATCCAAGTTCACAGAGTTTCGGGAGGCATGTTGTTTAGGAAGTGGATGCCGCTCCTGCTTCCAATTAAACAATAGATGATAATGCTTAAATGAAATATTTATTAGATTTTGTGGATACAAAATTTTTTTGTTAAGTCTTCCTACGTGTACTCCGGCATCATTAGTTATAACATTGTTGACCGCCAAGAAGCAGCCTTTTTTTCTGCGTTTTCTTCTAATGACTGCTTCATTCTCAAAAAATTTACCCCAATCCCGAACACATTGCTGGGGTATTGATTCCCACTAATAGCAAACCTCTGTCAGGTTTCCAAGGCTGTGAGTCTTTACCAGAGGAGATTGCCCAGCTCTGGGGAAGTAGCTGGTGGGTTTAAGCCGCCAATCTGTTGTTTAGCAGCCCAATATGTTTTCCAAGTTACCACGGTATTGAAAATTTGACAAAATCAGCAACTTACAAAAATATCGGTACAATGAAGACAATACCACGAGATTTAAATAGTGATTGTAATTAGGTAATAAGGACAATTTGGACTGCTGTGTACGGTAAGGTTCAGAAAGTAAATTAGCTCAGAGCTTTAAGTCTTGCAGGTACACTGAGACATACTTTTGAGTTTATGAAAAATGTGTTTTTGTTGTTATAACTAACTTGGGGTAGTCCTGTAAAAATAATAAATTTATGCCAAAACTCTACACAAAAATTTCAAAGACAGTAATTTTTGGTGTCACACCCTCTAACAACATCACTTTATGAATCTATACCCACTCCACGTCTCTAGTAACACCACCACGTATGTGGGTTTTGTTGTTGATTGGTTTTTGGGTTTTGATTTTTTTTTTTTTAACACCACTCAGTATGAAATGAGTAGGGTTCTTGGTAGTTGCCCGCAAGTCTGGTAGTACTTGTAGCAAGCCTATGAACAGCAGCTCGGAACTCTATCCTATCCTCTGTTATCCTCATTTCTGATATCCTCAAGCCCATTGCAGCAGTCACTATGCCAATGCATCTGCTTGACAGGCTTCCTTTCTTTCACCGACCTTCCATCTTTCCAAGCATGATGTCCTTATCCATGGAATAGCCTCTCTTAACATGCCCAAAGTTTGTGAGACAAACCTTTGTCATCTTTGCTTCCAAGAAGCACTATAACTGCATCTCCTCCATATCTGTTTGTTTTGTTGGTATTTCATGGGATATTTAGTATTCTTCTTTATTACCTACCATAGCTCAAAGGCATCAATTCTTCTTCTGTCGTCCTTATTCATTGTCCAGCTCTCAGATGCATAGCAAGTAAAAGATTATGGCCTGAATTAGACACACCTTAGTTCTCAAACTGACACCATTGCTCCTCAATAATATGAAGAGGCTCCTGACTGCAGACTTTCCCAGTGCTATATATCTCCTGATCTCCTGGCTGCTGGTACTAAGCATGTTGATGTGGATCCAGGTAATATGAAGTTATTGACAGTTTCAATCTTTTCTTTAACATGATCTCACCTATTGATCCAGTGGTGAGAGGTTTTGTTTTCTTGACATTGAGTTGTAATCAATATTGAAAGCTGTAGTTTTTTTATCTTCTGCAGCAAGTGCTTCAAGTCCTCCCCAACAAGCAAGTTTGTATCATATGTAGAACCAAATCTGTCCACTTCCACACTACAAGCTTTGGTGCAGTAGTGCTATGTCGAATCATTGTATTAAGTGTGATCATGCATGTTCTCAGGTGATGAGAGTAGCAGCCCCTGCACAGAGTGTAGGAGAAAGCCACCTTTGTTCTAAGCACTATAAGAACTTGGTAGGAAAGTTCCCAGGCAGCTTGTGGTAAGCTCTCTCTCTCTCTCTCTCTCTCTCTCTCTCTCTCTCTCTCTGTGTGTGTGTACATATAACCCTTGGGACTCATGACAGTCTGTGGGAGAACTGCAATAAGGAGATGTCTAGCCTTCTACAATTCTTCAGCTCTTCATTTACTTTTTAGTTGGCCACTGAACCTGAATATCCAGAGTTCCTTGCTGATTGCCTTGCACCTAATATTTAAGAGAATGAATGAGATACCTGACCTTGGACTTAAGAAACGGTGCTGTGAGCAGGATTTGGACTTGATACTGTCACATACTGGTGAGCATGTCTAGGGCAGCATTAATTATTTGAAACGTGTCAATCAGTATCCCATCACTTTCTGGGCCCTTATATTTGCCAATACCTTCAGTGTACTTTGAGCTTCTTCCTCCATCACCCTTGGCCTCTTGATCATATGGTATTCTTCCTGAAATATTTCAATGTCAGCCAATTCTTTTTGGTATAATGACTCTGTGTTTTCTATCTTATTTTTTTTAATTTTATTATATTTTGTGGATGTACCGTCAAATTGGATCTGACTGGAGGAGGAGATTGTCAAATTATCTCGCCTTCCCCAGGAGAGCATCTGGTGGATTCAAACCATGCAACTCTGGGATTGCAGTGCAGCTTCTTGCCACTAGGCCACCAAAGCTCCCTGTGTTTTCTATCTTCTTTTAATGCTTCTTGGATCATTTGAAATTTTACCCATAGTATCTTTCAGTATTGCAATTTGAGGTTCAAAATTGTTTTTAATTCTTTCAGCTTGGGAAATGCTAGGCAAGTTCTTCTCATTTTATTCTCCAACTCCAGCTCTTTGCACATTCCTTTAAAACACTTTGTCTTTTCAAGCTGCCCTTTCAAATCTGTTCCACTCTTTTACGTCAGCATATCTTCCTTTTGTCAGTTTGCTATACTGGAGTTACTTGTGGTTGAAAACGATGTTAATACTGTATCAAATTCCAGAAGAGTCACCCATGGTGAACAGTTTTCAGCAGAGCTCTCAGATTAAGGTAGACTAGGAAGCAGAATTTGCCATCAGTTCTGAAAACAGCAGGTCTCTGAAAACCTCTGTGAACAAAAGAGAAAAAAGTATAGCTATATTATTGGAGGTAGTGCCCAGATTAAAAATCAATAAAAACAAGAAACCACTGCAAATATTCTTTAATAATTGGAACTTGGAATGAAAATAGTATGAATGTAGGAAACCTAGAAGTTGTAAAAAATGAAATGGAATGAATGGACACTGACATTCTAGGCATTAGGGAGGTGAGATGGACTGACACTGGCCACTTTGTATTACACAAGCTACATGATCTGCTATGCCAGGAATAAAAAACAGAGAAAGTGTGGCGTTGCATTCATAGTTAAAAAAACAATTTCAAGTTCTATCCTGAAATGCAATATTGTGAGTGATAGTATAATAGTGATACCCAAGGAAGACATATTAATATGACTGTTACTCAATTATACACACCAGCAGTAAAAGCAAAGAGGAAATTGAAGACTGTTATCAAATTTTATGGTCCCAAATTGACCATACAACCAAGATGTATTAAAGATAATTTATGACTAGAATGCAAAAGTTTGAAACAATAATGTAGACTTGGGAATAGAAATGAAGTCAGAAATTGAGTGACTGAATTTTGTATGCTCAATTATTTATTGATCACAAATACCTTTTTTAAAAAAACTCTACACAAATGGTAACTTTACACATAAACCTCATCCGATGGACTGTGTAAGAAAAAATTGACTACACTTGTGGAAGGAATCATTGGAGAAGCTCAACATCAGCAGTCAAACCAGGTCAGGTGCTAACTATAGAAGACCATCAATTATTCATGTGCAAATACTAACTGAGGCTGAAGAAAATGAAAACAAGTCAACAAGAGCCAAAATATGATTTTGAGTCTATTCTACCTGAATTTAAAAGTTATCTTAAGAATAAGTTTGAGGTATTGGACACCAAGGATTAATGACCAGGTGAGTCACAGGATGACATCAAGGATATTATTTATACATGAAGAGAAGGAAAGGCCATTACAAAGACAGAAAAAAACCAAAAAACAACCCAACAAAACCCCAACCAAACAACACTAAAATGGATGCCAGAAGAGATTGGAAATTGCGCTAGATAGTTGAGACCAGAGTAATATTAGCCAGCTAAAATCCTAGACTAAATGGCCTTGGAAGAAACACTGCAATTTCACTAGGAAGTGTTCTGAGGGAGAAAAATGTGCCTGTCTTCTTTCTTAAAGTTGGTAACACTCATGGAAACTATGGAGCTATTCCTCTGTGCTATAGGGTTGTTATTCATTGGAATTGACTCAAGAGCAATAAGGGTTTATTATTGTTGAGCTGTTGTTTAATTGTGATAAGAGTATTTAAGGTATGTTGAGGGTTCTAATCCAGGTTCATGTTACAGGATGGTTATTTAGCTAAGTGAGCTATCCGTCAGTCCCTCCTTCTTTCCATGCCCTACTGCCTTGCTTCGGGGATCTGCTTAGATATCTTTGGATTTCTTGACTGCTGATACCAAGGGTGCTATTTATGGATTTAAGTAAAATAAAATCATTGACAATTGCATACTTTCCTCGATTTACCATGATGCCTATTGGTCCA